ATGGTGGAAATCCTGGCTCTAAGCGTGATGTTCAAGATCAGAAAGATAACGAAAAGCGTGAACCACAAAGGTCTTCAAGTTCATCTTACAATTATTATCGAAATGGTGGAAATCCTGGCTCTAAGCGTGATGTTCAAGATCAGAAAGACAACGAAAAGCGTGAACCGCAAAGGTCTTCAAGTTCATCTTACAATTATTATCGAAATGGCGGAAATCCTGGCTCTAAACGTGATGTCCAAGACCAGAAAGATAACGAAAAGCGTGAACCTCAAAGGTCTTCAAGTGCACCTACCAGCTATTATCAAGGTGACAAAGGACTTCGCTCTAAGCGTGATGTACAAGAAGATTAAACTTCAAAGAACTTCAAGAATGAAAAACACCAACATCTAGTTATAAATGTACCGAGATAACTCTAGCATAACTAAGTTTCTAAAATTAGTCAATTAAACATGTAACAAACTTCTTTGTAATTTTAACTCTGCATATAATAAATTAAATGAATAAACATTTTATTTGAAACAAAAATGACAAATTTGTTATTTTTTTTTAGATTATAATATTAAATAATTATACTATACAAACGAATGCTAAAAGAAAACCGAACTGATACTTGAATATATTACCTTGAAATTTGATTAGTAAAATATAATACAGTGGACAGCATAACCTACACCTTTATTATAAACCCATAATCTTTTTAATTTATACTAAAAAAATTTTAGTCAAAATATTTTTTTATTATAACTAAATTATTTTATCTCTTTTCATATATTATATATATATATATATATTATATCTAGTCTTACCTATCTGAAGTAATCTTTTTAGATATTTGAAAAAGTATGTGAATTATTCAAGCCCTAGAATTAGTTCTTCATGAATTAGACATCTGTATAACTACTTTAGATACCAGTCCTAACTGCAATTACTAGTTCAGCTATAGTAATACTAAGTAGCTGTAAAATAGATATATAGAAAACTTTAAAAGGTTTATCTTAAGAATAAAAACATCCTAAAATTAAGATAATAATCTAGATATAATTTAGTAAATTTAATATAGGTTGCAGGTTTAGAAAGTTTAATGATAGAGAGTACGTAAATTATTTTTATATAGTTAAGTATAATATATTAAAATGTTCCTTTAAAATTGATATATGCTACTAATAAAACTTTTTTATTTTTTAATTAATTAATAATATTATAAATAAAATTATTTATCTATTATAGTAAAATTTTGATGTATTGTATTATTTTAAAAAAATATATTTG